GCGGCCCCATGGTCAGTTGACAAAGGCTGCACATAAGAGGTGTGAGGAACTGAGGCAGAATGATGCCATGGAGTGTGTCGTTGTGGTAAAGCTCAACAAGCCCTGAGGTGACCAGGCAGAGGCATTTGTATTTCTGAAAACATAAAATAATGTATTAGTAGTTGGTTTTGAAAATCACGTACATATGCTTGTATCAGGATTTCACCAACCATTTATTACTAAGCACACAAATTGGTGTCAACGTAATGACATGATAGGACATTCAGCTTAAATCTCTTTTAAAATTGTTTCTTGGATTTTTTTAAAGTTCAATCACGCATTAACTACTGGTCGGATTGGGTTGAAATTTGCCATGATGATAGCTCACATTCCCGATTAACATATAGACATATTCTTATCTCACAAATCCTTTCGCACTCTGCCCCAGTGGCTCTAGAGTTTCCCATGTTAACCTTATGAGTATTCATATTTAAAAGGAATGAAAGAATTTTGTCAGCTTTTTCAACTGCACAAGTTGGTTCTATGATACCAACAGCAATTGGTGCAGCAATATTATTTATTTTTGCAATCATGACAACAGCTAATTTGAACCAAGCAGCAATAAAAGGCTATGAGAACTTTACTTTTTTCTTTTGTTTAGGTGTAGTGGTAGAACATTATGGCTATGGTAGATGTGCTATACTATAGTATACCATAAATTAAAAGAATAAAATTTTCCTAAATGGTGTCCTCTGCCATTGCAAATGCAAAGCACGAGTATGACTGCAATAAGCATTTTATACTCATACGCCAACCCCGTAAGAAGGACGGGTACTCTGCTAGTATATATAAACCAACCTCAAAATCAGAGAATGAGTTCTGCAAGTCACTGCCAGTTCCGAGGTTGACAGGAGGGCTCACTCCCGGGAGTAAGTTCGGCCAGACACCCAAGTTTACGATGTGATCCAACAACAACCTCACTGACCTCTGGTGGGCGACACTCAATAACCGCCCTGTCTCGTCTTCCTCCCTCTCCAGGCATCCCTTCAGCCTTAGCAGACATTCTAGGCTCAAGAAGATGAACTTTTCATAGCTGAAGCAAAATAAACAAATCTAAATGTCATAAAAAAAAACTGGTATACAATAGCATAATAATGTGGAAAGTCTATCATGGGCTACTGTTACAGTTGACGTAAAACATAAATGATTTTACTGGGAGGAAGAAAAAATTACCTGGTATGATCATTAATTGTAAGTTTTTCACTTTTTGATAAATGCTGCAACTCTGAAAGTGTGAATATGTTGGGTACAGCTTCTTCTAAGGTTTGTTGAGTATCTTTAAAAGCGTCGTCAATGTTTCCTGCAATACCTGAAAAAAGCATAATGCATCAGATTAGATTGGGTTTTTGCGATTCCAATACACCAGGGTGTGTGAAACATTTATACCAAGAGCAATTATAAAGGACAGCTAAATCTAATGTCGAAGCGTCAAAAAGTGAAACACTTTTTTGAATTTAAATGGCAACCTTCTAATTACCAGGCGAGCATTGGATTGAATAGGCAACACAACAAAGTTATGGCTACCTATCCATGGTTACCTAAACCCCTGAACCGCCTTTTTACTGGGGTTAAGATTTCTTACCATCCATACCCCCATATATTATGGAACATTTAGATGGACGCCCATGTAAGAAAGGCCTATTGTATGCATTTATAAACCTGTGCTAAATGGTATTTTTATGTTTCAGTTCGCTAACTTAATTAGCCTAACTTTAACAGGCAATACCACTCATCCATAACTGAGTGCCGCTGCATAAGCTGTGATGTTAGAAGAAGAAATTTCAGAATGATTAACAGCAGAGTGTGTGGCATTTCAGATTTTGTGAACAAAAAGGTTCCCTAGTAGCTGGCCATTGGCTTCTTTGCAAGAGTAACTACATTATCAGGCCATGAAATTTGGACTAGTTAAGTAGGTACAACATAATAATATGCTCCACAAAACCTAACTTAATACCCTACAAGTAGGCTATTGATAAAAATTATATAATAGGTAAAATGGTTTACAATATCCGCATATATAGTAATCCTTTGTTGCTGTTTAGGCAACTAGTTTCATTTCCTCTGAACCATCATCATGGCCTCAAGGTGTCAGGTAATCACTTCACTTGAAGGTCGTTAACAAACAGAGTTCAATAAATAAAACATATATACAACACACGATAACAAAAAAACACAATGGCAAATTGACAGAACCGATCGTGACCGGTGATATGTTTTATTTATTGAATCCTGTTTGTTACTTAACGAACTTCGAATGAAGTGATTACCTGGCACCTTGAGGCCTGATGATGGTTCAGAGGAACCGAAACTAATTGCCAAAACATCAACGAAGGATTACTACATGCTGGTATTGTAAATAATTTTAAGTAGCCTAACTAATAATGCAGTAATCCGAAGGCTAAACAACTATTTGAAAATATATTATAGGCGTAGGCCTAATCTGTTTTAAAAAATCTTTCCTTGAATTAAAACTGAAACCTGAAAAAAACATAGGGTCCAATAAGTAGGTACTGAACCAAAGAAACAGTTTCAGGCATTGAAACTAGAAGTACATTATTATGTAGGCCTAGCCTAAATCCACCATATAGGCATAGTAGGTATCTCGATCGGTCACTTTGGGTACCGGTACAGTTTCTTAACGGGGCTATGCTAATATCGATTGAATCTATCGAATTGAAAATATTGATTAATAATCGATATTTTTTAATATCTCTATTATAAAATTAAAATATTATAATCTAACCTAACCAACCAAACTTGCTAATAAAAAAATCGCATGAACGACTAATCGAATCGATAGTTTCAATCGATATTAGCATAGCCCAGTTAAGAAACTGTACCCGTAACGTTAAATATATTAATATGGAAATGTCTTGTCTTTAATAGTGAGGCAAAAAATAACTTGTAAACATAGTCTTGCCATAGTTCTAAGCTTACGGTACCTTTAATGTCTGTATGAGCTAATTTGTCTAACACAAATAGTAGATTATTCTTTTCCATGTTAATTACTTAATTACGATGCATTTTTTACATTTGACTTAGAGATTTATACCAATTCCTTTCTCTTTAAATCCTGAATCTGGTAAAACAATAACAAGATAGTAACCATAACCAAACCAAACAACAAAGTCAAACAATCAAACATAACCTAAATAAGTCCTAAACTTTCTCAAAATCTAGAACATTCAGGATACATTTGGCAGCCAAAGGTTTGGTGCATGAAGCTGTGGTCCTAGCGCTTTGATTTTAGTTATTGTATAATAAAATTATTACGGAAAACATAGTATTTCACACATATTTTTCATCAGGGCCACAATGAGGGGTTTATAAATTGTACTAAAATTCATCAAACATCAATCTTCAGCTTTTAATAATAAGTTGTGTTACTTATAGTAACACTCAATTTAATGGTAATTAATAGTGTTGGATAAACATTATCTAATCAGCCTTATTGTACGTTATTATCAAAAAACCTTTTATAAAATTACAGTCAAAAGTCAAATAAGCTTTGAATTATTACGCTTGAAATATTTAAATACATAAAATCCTTTTCAATTACCATTACCGGTAAATGGTGACCATACAAAGAACAGTAGGTATTAATTATTGTAAAAAAACATTATGGTTCTCCGAAAAAAAATTCTCCTCCCCTGAAATTAAAAGATCTTTTTTTAATTTTCTAGATACAGCAGGCCTACTGGACCTAATTTGGAGTCATCATATTAATGCAATATAAAAAACATTCGTGTTTTGCAGGATTTAAGCCTACATCTCCAGGCCCTAACCAGACCATCTCGTTATATGGACCAAATCTATGCCACAACTTGAAATATTAACACCAAAGTTGCTAACAGCCAAAAACTCGAGAAACAAACCCTTACAACAATTAGGTGTTGTATTATAGCTCCGTAGTAGTGTACCTATATTTAAGTCATATGTCATAAGTCATTTATTCAGCCAAATCAACCAAATTCAATTAGCGTTAGCTATGTCAAAATCGGTATTAAATATAAGGTCAATCTTATATTTAATCATTTTAAGTACTGCACCTCATCCTTCTACATAAAAAAAAAAACAGTAACACAATAATGGAGATACTACTTTATGCAATGATTCATAATACTGTTCATATTTTAACTGAAACAAGTGTTCCTCGTTCCTCGAGTTCATTAACTTAAGAAATTACATTTAAAACTTATATTTAGAAACAGCTTCTGAACATTGATTTATTTTTATTTTGTAACTTTATGTCCAGTGTTGGATTTTAAATTGTTTTCAACCCATCCAGTTGAAGATTTTTATTGGTACAAAACATCTACAACACTGATGTATAAAGAATATAAACACAAATTTTAATAAAACGTGCCAAGCAAACATATCGACAAGCAAAAAAAAAAAAAAAAACAGACCTTTTTGCTCTTATTAGTTTATGGGATTCTGGCCTCTTACTGATTGCTATGATATAATTATGGTATACAGTTGCCTAACAAGAGAGAAGCATTTAAATCCATTTTGTGTTTTATCCGTTATTGTGATTATGATTATAGCTAACCATTCTTCACCTCAAATTTGTCCACTGCTACTTCTGTATTGTATGAAACAATTTAACATATCATAATTGACATAAAATTGAAATTGACATAAATATACAACAAAAAACCCATGGTTGAAGAGTAGTAGTTAAATATTTTGTTCATATGTGATTTCAGAACTGTTCATGCTTTTTATCTCCTGTTACCAAAAACCCTTTGAAATTCAATGAAAGTTTTCAGTTAATTTTTAACGCTCTTGATTCTTGGTGAAAAATTATGTTTAATATTGAAAGTACTGTAATAGCTCCAATTTTTATAGCTTTATTAAAAAAAATATAAAAATTATTATTATTTTATATTTTACATTCATGTTTCAATTATTTAAGGTTTCAACACATACCATAAGGTGATAAAATAACTACACAATTTCTAATCACTTTTTGGCAACCACGTTTGTTTAATGAGATCGGATCCTTTTTCAGCTATCATAATAACCGGAGCATTGATGTTACCCCTTACAATATTAGGCATGATAGATGCATCAATCACCCGCAGATTGTTGACACCTTTAACTCTGAGGTATGGATCAACCACTGAATCTGAAGAGCTTGCAGGACCCATCTTGCACGTGCCACTTGGATGGTAAGTTGTTGCTGTCAAATATCTAAGAGAACAGTCTCTATATGCTATTGAAGCAAATGGATATCTATTGCACTCTGTGACGTTAATTTCATGTAGCTCTGCGTTGACTCTCCTAAGGCCGGTTGTTTTTACCAAACTTGTCGCTATATCATAGGTGGTCAGAAGTGTCTGAATGTCTTTGTAATTAGAGAAATACCCAGCTTCTATTTTAGGCTGCATCGTGGGGTCTTTAGATTTCAATGAAATTCTTCCCTTACTGTACGGATTGAGCAATGAAGTGAGAACAAGAACTATGTACGATTCAGAGTGAAGTTTTGCATACTGATCTCTTATATCTTTCCGGAGACCCGTGTCGGATAAAATTCTTTTTAAACCTGGGAAATCTTGGGAGAAATCGACAAAATACATTTGAATGTCTGGATTGTCATCGTTGTCAATCAAGTCAATAAATGCTGTCAGAGAACCGAGGCCGAATCCGGAAAGATGGGTTTGTTTTTTAAATACGTACTTTAAGAACGCTGCCACTACTCCTTCATCAGGTTTTGTGTAGTTGAGTGTAATGACCATTCCATATGTTAGAACGTGGTCTTGTAAGTTTTCTCCGACTGGTAAATCTTGAACCACTGTGATGTTGTGTTCCTCTAAATGTTTTCTTGGACCAATCCCAGACAACATCAACAGTTGTGGACTGTTAACAGCTCCAGCAGACAAAATCACCTCCTTCCGAGCAAAGACTTTTAACGATACACCATCTCTGTTTGTAAACTCAATACCAGAAGCGGTTTTTCCGTCTTCACTTATCAATATTTTAGTAGCCAGAGCACCTTTACATATTTTTAAATTATTTCTTTTTTTGATCGGTGCTAAGAACGCTTTGGCAGTATTACACCGTCGTCCGTCTTCCTGAGTCGCTTGCAATGTTGCATATCCGGTTTGTGTTGCACCGTTACAATCCTTGTTTAGATTGTGTCCTATTTCGTGCATTCCACTGATGAAATGATCGACCAAGGGTTGAACTTCTTCCTTTTCCCATGTTTCTACTTTCAAATAACCACCTTTACCGTGATAATATTCATAACCCGGGGTATCCAAGACCTCTTCAGCTCTTATATCTTCGGACTTCTTGAAGTAGGGGAGAACGTCTTTGTACGCCCATCCTACGTTGCCATCTCTCGCCCACCCATCGTAATCCTTTGCATTGCCCCTTACATAGATCATGAAGTTAATCACACTTGTTCCACCAAGTACCTTTCCTCTCGGCCAGTAACACCTCTGGTCCTCCATACCGAGACAGTGTCCAAATCCCGGTTCAGTCTTGTACCTCCAATCTATCTCTGTTTTCTGCAGCCAGGGGAAGAGCACAGGCATGTCTGAGGGTAGTGGAGGGTCGTACCCAGCTTCAATGACCAGGACCGACCAATCAGAAGGCTCCGTCAGACGATTGGCCACCACCGACCCCGCAGACCCTGCCCCCACAACGATGAAGTCGAACGTCTCTCCGTCCTCAGGATCATAGTGAGTGGGGTAAATACTTTCCCTGAAATAAAAAAGAGAAATTAGATGAGAAATAAAACTATTGTTTGTAGAAAAAGAATTGCAGCATTCTGTTATAGAGTATATATATCAAATCCTTATAAGATCAAATACCGGTATATCTTTGGTGGCTATGGGACAATCATAATTATAGCCTAAATTTTGTTGTTATATTACTTTTAAAACTTAGAAAAATAAAACAATGCTTGGTAAGTTTAAGTTTACATTTATAATATTGGCATATTTAAAAGAGCATAACCGTAATATATAGAATAATTAAATTATGCTGTTTGTTTGTGTTAGCATAACAGGTTCAATAAAGTTAATGCAAAAAGAAACTAAGCCTTTAGAGATCGATCCTGAGAAAAGTCAGTAGCTTTTTGATGGTTCGAAACTAGACCCAGCTGTTCCTGATCATTGGGCTTTAAATAAATGATCCTGACTAATGAAACCACTGATCTTAGTCAGTAACAAAGCTACACAGATAAACACACACCATTCTACACTCATCCTTCACTCATATTTGGGTTATACACACCTAGGTGGTGTCCGCATCTTAATGATAATTGATAATTATATGATTGTGCAAATACAGTAACTAATTATTTGTAACCATAGAGTGTTCTAAAATTGACTTTCCAGCACCTAAGATTTCAGTTGTGTTGGAAGAGACCTTTTAAAAATACCCCCACTGCAGCAAACCTGCCGACTAAGCGAATTTCCATTTGCCTGAATTGGTTTTCAATTAAAATGTATTTAATTAACATTAGGTTTTATGAGTACCTAGGCTTGCTGCTACAGGGAGGGTAATAAAGTGTGTTTTTTTGTAAAATATTAATAACTTAGTATAAAATAAAAAAATTACCAAAGGTTGATAAAAATATATTCATAAGCAAGCAAACTACAACATTTTACAATATTCTCCATACAAATAACATGGGAATAAAAAAAAAGTTTTTTTTTAATTTTCCTCGAAACCAATAATTGTACAAAAACACATTGATATACTAAATTTTTTTTAAGCTCTTTAAAAAGATCTGGAGAGAAATTGGGATCTTTTGTGTTTAGAGAGTCAAAAATTAAAAAAAAACAATTTTTACCCCATAAACCCCCCCAACCCCCCCCCCGTAACACCCCGTTCCCTTCATCCGATCATCCTGGTTTGCAAAATGATTCAAGTTTATCCCGCCTTACACCTTCAAACCAAATTTCATCAAAATCGGACAAAAATCACTCAAGTTATCGTGTTTACGGATACTGTATATAAAAATTTTAATAAATGTTGTTTTTGGCCTCTGGGGACATCAAAATGAAAAAGTAAATCGGTCCCGAGCCTAGGTCTTACCATGCCACCTACGGTAATAGCTACTTCCCTATATATAGGGAAATTCGCTAAAAGTTAAAATCTGATTATAAGGAACAGCTGTTTCAACAATGGAATTCAAATACTCTACTCCACTTTTCATTAGTAGCTATGTAGTAATAAATCTTAAATTAATGTCAAAGATTTAAAAAAATCTCTAAAATCCCTTACTGTATCAGAGAAATTCCTAATGTGTCCCATCACTACACACACTTACAGTAATATTCATTGTAATATTTGTATACCTACTACCTATCTGTAAATAAATTCACAACTAATAAATAAAAATACACTTACTGTTTGGTGTGCTCTGTTATGATGAGAATTATCAGTGGTGTAGGCCAATAGAGCATAGTGAAACAGAAGAATATCAGAGGTCTTGTGATAACATCTTAAACAAACTTTTCAACAAACAAGATGTAGACTATTGTGTCACCAGAACCAAGGAAACAATAGAATAGTGAAAAGCAGATTTTATAAAAGTTCTATACACTCCTATCAAAATTCATTTATCTGAAAATTATTCATAAAATTTGACAATTTTTTAAAAAAGAGTTCCAAGTGCTTACTCTATATTCAGGATTACCACTCTGCGAATTTTATAAAATCTCAGAATAAAAAAATAACGAGTCCAGTGTCTTAAAATCCACTCTCATATTTCTCTTACTTGGTTAAAAAAAATACCCTCTTTCAAGAATATTTATATTGGAGATTGCCTTTGTTTATGATGAGAAGACAAAACTAAAACTGAAGGTTGATTTATTGGATAAAATACTCTCATACAAACAGTTTCTCCATTTCGCTGGGTAAATGTTAATTCTTGGAATAATGTTGGATCAAAACTGTACTCCTTGCTATTGCTTCATAAAGTATGATAGTTATTTTGAGAATAATAAGTGTTTCCTTCTATACAGGATTACCTAGTTGAGAAACGGAAGAGTTTGATACAATCAACAATCAACTATATGTCTCATAAAATTCACTCTCATATCTCACTCTTACTTAGATAAATCTTTTGTGAACCCAGTCTCAATAATAATTAATTATTCACATTATTATTGTATGCTTTGTTCTTGATGCCAAGGTACACATCAAGAATTATAAGACAGCCATCAAGGAAAATATTGATTGGATAATACAGTTCCATATAAGCTGTTTATCCACTACCTTTTTGGTACATAAATGTTTATTTTATATCATGTATACATGTAAAAAATGTAAAGTCTTTCAAAATTTTTCAAATATAATTTTAAAAATGTGGCACAACAATAATTAAGAGGACGTTCTACATATATAGGCCTATAACAATACAACCTTTTGATCACTAAACAAATATTTCGTTTATACTACAAGTAATAAGTTTTAACCAGTAGTGATAAGAGAGCGGAGATAACTCCAGGGCTGTATCAGCAACAGCTGATTACTATTTGGCGGGTGGCCTTGGTCCGTTTGCCACCATCGCGCCAGTCAGTGTCGGACCGCGCAGCTGGAACTGTCTACTGCGCAAACTCCGTCACTACGCCTGCGCACTTGCTACCTCTGCGCGGTGAGTTTTGGTGTTTCCATAACAAAGACATGCATAGTCTACCGTGCGTGAAAAGTTCTTGGTGTGATGTTTGTTGGATAAAACAATATTTAGTTCTTGTCCTAATTAAGGAATACACATAAAACTGCTACATGTATATAATGTATCCTGTAAACTTTCTAAACGTATAGTGTGAGTAGAGTGCTAAAGGCACGTTAAACTATTTGATCAAATATATTGAATTTATTGAAGTGCTTACGAAACTCATGTAAAATTATATACACATTGTATACAAGAAGGCTTGTCTTGTCAAAAAAAACTCAGAAGCTGCTATGTTCGGGTTTTTGGGAGATGGTCTAGTGTTGGGGCTTCGGTGCCTGAGGTCCTGTGTTCAAATCCTGCCAATCGCCATCACAAATGGATTGTATTCATATTATAATTCCGCTACCCTCTAGGACTAGCCTGAAGTAATGTTTAAAACAGTTCTGGGCTGGAACTAGCCTCTTAAGATGTGAAGCTCGGACATAAAAAACGTTCGGGTTTACACATCAACACATTATAGAACATTAAAGTTAGATACATTGTAAAATTTTAGGTGCTTTGAATGATGTTTCCTTGTGTTGATTATGCATATTACCATTGACTAAATAGTCAAAGATATTACCAATTAATTGAGGCTCAGCTTGGCTAATAGATATCGATGGCTTGGCCAACCTAATACAGTATAGTCAGTACACTAACCTTATTTATATCTGACCAATTCAAAAAGGCCATCCTTATGGCATTGTTAGCCCAACAATATAGTTTTCATCACTCTGTATTCGAAGATAGCCCATTTCCATACAGCTGAGATCTTGGAAAATCTTCAATTTCCATACAACAAAAACAAATAGTGATCAGCTGACTTTTCCTAACACAAACGTTACTTTCGCTACACAAACAATACTTTGCATGACATCAACAAAGTTGCAATCAGCTGAATTTTACACTAAAATCAATTTTAATTGTACAGTCGTATTGTTTTTAAGAATAAAACGAAATATCAGATATTTTTTTTAGTTTGATGAAGTAGTTTTTTTCATCGTGATAAAAAGTATCGTTCAATACTCGTCACGAAAGTCCCGTTTCGGGGCTAGATAGTGTTTCCAATGTTCGTCTTCGACTCGCATGTAAAACACTATCTCGTCCCGAAATGGGTTTGGGTTACTTTCTTGACTAGTAGTGAAATATACTATTTCATCATACTGTCCGGAAAACAGATATTTTTTGTTTTCTAAATCGTACGCAAAATCATAATTTTTTGGGCACTTCAAGCAGGGAAAAGAAATACATGGTGAATTCTTCGGTTCGCTAACCTCAAAAATGTTATTATTGCATTATGGAAACGCTGCTAATCACACGATATTTTAAGCTATGTTAGTAAAAACGAACATTGATTACGAATTTGTATAACCTGAAAATACGTGGTCTAATTTTGTAACGATTAGAAGGTTATTTTCACAGCATGATGAAAATAGTTGTTCATCACACGGAGCGAAAGTGTCTTTTTGGCACTTAATCGTATTTCCGTACAATTTCCGTACTTACGTAAAACTCAATTACGTACCAAAAAGAGCCACTTTCGCTCCTAGTGATGAAAACTACTATTTTCCATCAAGACTAATACTGGAACACAGTTTTAACTAAAAGCTAAGATTTAGGATTGACTTTGGGTGTTTTACAAAAGCTTACTAAAGTATGACAATTATTCTAAGTACTGTATACGCACTAATGTGTTATCTAATCCAAACTTCTGTAACCATCAGAGTGGCTCTTCCCACTGTTGATGATATCATTATCATAATATTGCAGTGTAAACATCACTTAACGTGCACAGTACTCTTCACAATATTTTTAATGTCCGAATTATACTCATGAAAATTTTATAATCATGTATTCGGAGTGTAGGGATGGATAATTGACTTCTATTACAGACAATATCTATATTCTGTGCTTCTATCCACTTCCCTGCTGATATCTTGTGACGTTGCAGACTTCAAAGTGAATTATTACTTCATCTACAACTATAGTCTAGTCACAGTAACCACTATGTTCACAGATGCACTCAGATCAGATAATGTTAGTTCTAGCGAGTGCACGTTTTCGTGATTTAGTGTTCGTAGTGTTCGTTGTGGTAGCTTTACTGCACTCAGTACCACATAACATTACTTCGTCTGTTTAGAGTGTTTGGATTTATGACCACAGATCCACCAAGGATGTCCTGACAAAGGTGACCCTAAAAGCATTACTTCAGTAGGGTAAAACCTACAGATACATTAGGTGTACCTATATAAAGCATTTGTGATGAGATATTTTTCTTAAGTTTCATGTCCTGTAATGTAAAACCAGATTAATACAGTCTTCCTTCCAATTTAATTGAATGATTGATTGTTTGCGCCGTAAATATTACAGAAGTAAATTTACCTAATAGAGGAGGTAAAAATAATTATGTTTGATAAAATAAAAGTAGGTAGTTGCAGAAATAAAATTATTTGATGATGAAATTTGTGTCAAAAGCATACTTGACCAAATAGATTACACCTCAAACTAATTACAAACCAATCAATGTTTACGGTGTATTAATTTTATCATGACAATAAAATGTAAGGCAACGAACGCACGGTTGTATTGTAGTTCCCAGATTTGTGTGAGGGATTTTATTTTTTAATCGAGGCTCTAGCCTGGGATTTTTCAAATTATTTCAGGCCAGGCCTTGAGGTTGTGTCATTATCACTTAGATTTTATCCATTGGTGATTAGTGGTACTTGAACCTAGGACCTCTGGGACGAAGTCACACACTCTGCTACTAGACCAGCTAACTTCCAATGATTTTAAATTATCAAATACCATACCACCTAGGTGGCGTCTTCATCTCAATTGGTAATTGATAAATAGCAATTTGAGTTCTTAACTGCAGTTACCTCGTTTAACCCAGTAATTATTTCCTGGAAGTTAACTATGGGGCGGTTTTAAACAATCTTTAATTAGTTAACGATCCTTTAGAAAGTAAACTAGTTAAAGATCAGTTAGTTGGATAGTTAATTGTATTAATCAAACTGAGATCCTCACCTAGTTCTGTGAGTACAAATATATACGTAATATAATGCGAGTGCAGATATTGTTTTTAAGCTGATTCGGAAATCCATTGATCTAATGTGAAACCAAGTTTGAAGGTGTCACAAATTTCAAATCAAAACCTTGTAGAATCATATTTGTTCGATGAATAAGTAATTTAAGCAGTAGAAATATTTCTTTTTCAGGGGTCAAAATTTTAGTTAAAAATTGTATTTTCCGCTCTGAACAGTAAAAATAAAATAGTATAAACAATCTTATATATTAAAACGTGACAGGGGTATTTTTATTTCACGATTCTGAATCAACCACTTGACGGATTTTCATGATTTTTGTGTTGAAAGAAAGTTATTTTGAGAACTAGGGAATGTCGAAACCATAATTTTAGTTTAGGGTTTCAGTTTTTTAGAAAATAAGTTTAAAATTTTAAAAAGTCTAGCAGCCGACGCTAACATTCTACACTAGCTTTTTGTATAAAGCCATTTGATCAACGTAACAGCTGTAAACATTGGCGTGTGTGACACAAATTCAGCACTTGGATAATAATGACATGCATAGGATTGACTATTTATACTATATGTAATGTTATACTCATTTAATCGTTCATTTATTGGCTAAGATGTATTGATAAGATGTATGGTATTAGTAAAATGTTCTAATTTATTTTTTGAGCAGTCTTTAAAAATATTTTACGTTTGTTTTAGTGCAATATAATTTGTTATAAC